CTTTGGAGACCCTAAATCTAATGCGAGAGGGCGAAAAAAAAACAAGAAGGGCCCTAAAAAACAAGATGCCTAGATTAGAAATATACTAAGAGACGACAAATGTAAGGACACAGATTGAGTGAGGTGACACAGTCTAACAAACAAGAAGTCTTTTATTCATCATCAAAACAGCAATAAATCAGGTGGAACAGCAGTTGTCGTCCTGTCCTGTTTTCGCGTTACGGGTATCACGTCAAACTGACGATTTGCGGCACTGTCGTGACTCTTTGGTCATAGTTGCAGGAAGCGGAATTACTTGTTTTTTTTTTGAGGAACAGACCAAAATTAATGCGCGCGCGGACGTTATCCATAAAATTTACTTGGTATGGCCTAACAAGAGTAATTGTTGGTGCGCACTGTATGGATAAAGAAAGGGTGTTAACCAACAAAGGTTAACAGTTGAGTCTGTTGAGATGATATTGCCAATATCCATCTAGTGATCTACAGTAAATTGTCACTGTCAGTATCCATATTACATGATTGTACATTTCATGGTGTTACTGTTAGGGAAATCCTGAGTGTAACTTGACAATGGGCCTTGAATGTGTGGTGTATTTACTAGTATTGACACGAGATACCAATGGGACTAAGTAAGAATAATATTAGTATTATTACGCTGTGCTTACACTAAATTACAGTAACAGCCCAGCTGTAAATTTTCACTTACAGGGCTTGAAATACCAGGTGTATATGCAGGTTAGTGCAGGTAAAATTGGAGCTGTGCAGGTATTTCTGATGTCTACCTGCACCTAACCTGTACTGGTTCATGTACTGGGTTTATATACTAGTATACATTATGTAAGTGTATGTGGATTGTTATTTGATCCATTGACTGTTTTAGTACCAGTACTATGAATCGTACTATGATCCATATTTCCTAAATTCTGAGTAGTGCAGGTAAAATTTGTCTTGTACAGGTAATGCAGAAAAAAGTATTTCAAGCTAAATAAGATATAGGAACCAATCATCACATGCATGCATTCCAGTGGTATTATTGGTAGGCTTCATTTTGTATTTACAGAGCATCCGTAACTTACATAACTACATTTAGGTGTTCATATAATACCGTATCCAATACAAGGCCCATGGTACCTTCCCTGTTATATTACACCTCTATAATGACACGCTATCATCACAGCCTCGTATTATATGATAAAGGATTTCCCTCCTTCTCCCATGGAGGACAAAAATGTAATTTGGAACAGAAACAGGAGTGAGAGGGCACCACTAATGACCCAGATAGGATCTGGATGTCATGTTTTACGTTGCACATCTGAAGACTTGATTTCAACACTTGTCAGATTGTTGGGAGCAGAGCAGCAAATGAGTCTGAATTTGTTCGACCTTGTCATGGCTTGACGTTTGACTCACAGCGAAGGGATATTAAACCATTCCTCACATTTTCTCCTGTTCACGTAGGCGTGATATAGGATTCTTTCTGATGGGTAATACACGTAGCTTACTTTTCTTCTGTACTGTGAAGAAGTCATTTTTTTTGTACACTGTACCATAGCCTAGTAAAATTATTTCTAGAATTCTACATTTCATAAGTTCAGAAATTTCCAATTATTAGTAATATAATTACAAATGTAGATTTTGGCCAATGTTTAACATTTAGATTTGCTTCAGTGGAAGTGGTAAAACGTGTCCTTGGTGAGAATGTTCAGGCACTAGCAAGTGAAGTTCCGCGGAGCATTTACCATGGAAATAGTGATAAGATAACGCCAGGCTTGCAACATTACGCCTATGTGAGAGTGGTTGTAGGGGGAACGGGTTTTCTGCGCGTGAAGAATTTGCGCGTGAAAAACTTGCGCGTGAAAAATTTGCGCGTGAAAAATAAACGTCTTAGAAATATGTTAGAAAATATGCAGTACCAAATTCTTAGGCAGGAAAATGTTGTCCTCTGGTATAATTTTCCCTCTGTTAGCCAAAATTTTTGTTTGAAAATGTTGGTCCCTTGGGAATAAGCTAATTTGCATAATTTCCATAAAACCTGACCTTTTGAAAATCACTTGAATTTGTAAGAAATACATGGAAAAGTTACCAGTATGAGGTTTAGGATGGTAAAATGTAACAATCTGAAGCTTTTCTCCATTCTAGAAGTTTGATTTCATGCTTTCTTAAACAAATTCTTTCACGCGCAAATTTCAACCTTTTTTGCGCATGAAAACTTAACCTTTCAAAATAACCTGAAATCACAAAAAAATGGACAAAACAAGGGTATGTAGTCTAGAATGCAAGCAAAATGATGTTAGATTTTTATTTTCTTGTCTTTTTCCAACTTTTAAGCTTAAAACAGCAAAAAGTTTTCAAATCCCTTGGGAGTCAGCTAATTTGCATATCTTCACGCGCAGATTCTTCACGCGCAAGTTTTTCACGCGCAAATTTTTCACGCGCAAATTTTTCACGCGCACAAAACCCCATCTCGTTGTAGGGTGGCAAACTCCCAACAAGATTTTTTAACCGGTTTTGAAGTTGGTATAAGAGGCAGTTTAGGGAGATCTGGGCAGCTCCAGGCTAGATATAAATTATTGTATTTAATTTAATAATAATATTGCCTTGTTTCTTGATTGGCTTGAAGCAATTTGGACCAAAACTAAAAAATACACCAAACTAAAATATATTTGGAAAGATTTTTCCATTTTTAGAATCCAATAGCCAGTCCTGATTGGCTTGAAGCAATTTGGACCAAAACTAAAAAATACACCAAACTAAAATATATTTGGAAAGATTTTTCCATTTTTAGAATCCAATAGCCAGTCCTACTAGTAATGTAATTTTCCCATGGCTCTAGTACCATGCATTTCTCACATAGCGAATCGTGAATGCTGGGCCATTGCACTGTATTAGGATGATTGTCTGCGCAAGTACATGTATAATGTACATGTATAATAAAAAGGAGCGTGAAAAGGTGATGCTCCCGCTAGTCCCATGATAACAGCAGTGATTAGCAGACCTCATGATGCCATGCATAATTGCACATGTCTGTACCCCAGTAGGGTCAGTAATCCAGTCTTCCGGGATGGCTACTAATTGTGGTGTAATGAATAAGTCATGAAACGTCCTTGGGAAGTGGGGAAAGTCTGCTCACATGTACAGTGTTCATGTGTGTGTGTGTATCATCAAAGCTGTCCAGAGTGGTTGCTAATATTAATGATATGATATGATGATAATATGATATGAATCTTTATTGCATGTTCTTGCCCAGATGGCTAAATGCATAAGAGGGTATGCAGTATGCAAAAACATGAGTATTTCATACTGGTACGCTATATTCTAATGCAAAGTGCTAAGAATCTATACAATACAACAATACTATATATTACCTATCATCTACTGTTAGTTGCCCTTTCTTCCTTAATAAGATTCCATTTGTAACAATAGAACACAGATAATGCAGTTTCTGACCATGTATATTATGATAGTAGTGTGATCAGTAAAGGCATGTTCTTGTGAAAAATAGCATTTTTCAGAATTTTCCAGTCATTTATACTACATGTACCAAGCATCAAAATAATTTTCCTTTGGTGTAGTTAATACAATTTGTCCATATTTCTATTAGGGAATACATGTACAGGATATGACAATTGCCTTCTTCATAAATTGTTCTAAGGAAAAAAAAAACAAAATATGCTACATTTGATGTTACATTGCATTTCTTAAAGCAGAGGTTACACGTAGGTCTACCTGACAAATCAAAAAAATCTTATACTTAAATCCTCTGACAGCATAAGCTAATAGTATTAACTTATTACCTTCGCCAAGAAGGTTATGTTTTCAGAGGCGTTCGTGTATGTGTGTGTGTGTGTGTGTGTGTGTAAACACGATAACTTGAGAAGGCTTAAATGGACTGACT